TACCTATATTTTACACTTCACAAATCTTTCTCAAGTATATGCAATATCTAACTTACTCTAATCAAAGTGTCCCAATATGGGTATTTAGGGATGGTAGGGAGACAGGAAATCCAAAATAAACAAATGAAACAGGACTCTGGTTTAAAAAATGTAACAGAATACACAGACTGGTAGCCACTGTTAACTTCCTCATCTCAACTATTCTCTGTAATAAATGTAATTACCATTTTACCCCTCCCAATGGTCTAGGACCAGCGGTGGCATGGTGGTTAAGATGACTGGATCGCACATAGCCCACTGTAAAGTCCAAGTCCCAGATGCAGTGATCTTGAAAAGAATAAGCACTGCAAGCATACCCAAAATCCCAAAAGAGACTGAAGCATGGCCATTCCACCAGAGGGTACTTTCTCACATTGTTCCTCTATAGCAAGCACACGCATCCTCATAGCAAAAGTAAAAAGAAAAGAAAGAAGGAAGGAAAAAGAGGAAGAGAATATGGTCTACACTGCTTTCCAATCTTTATGGCCCTCCTAGAAAACATTCTAAATTTGTCCAAAGCAAGAATACCATGTCAACAAAACTTTTATCTATTAACATGCTATTTATTCATATTATCCTTGTACAGATATTTTTATGCTACTTTACAAAAGCAGTGAGACACAACTAAATACTACTTTATGCATACTAAGGGGTACACACATTTGAAAATCTGTGTATTTCAATGATAGTAGTTATATTCATCTTTCTGGTTTAAAACCATCGACCACCATTAATAAGTGCTCTGTTGAATATGCTTGCATCACAGTATCTTTTATCAAACACTGAAACTAAAATTTCACGTTTTTTCAACAATCAGGGTCTACAATCTCCCTTATTGATAATAGTGAAACATGAGGAAGACATTCTAGCAAACACAAAAACTACCTTTTGATTAAAATTTTAAAATCCTTATTTAGTATACAAAATTATAAGACATTTTGAACATTATCTTTAAAATTCAGTATTTTGAAATTTTGAAAGTTGTTTGTAAACTGTCAAGAATTATGGAGTATGAGCTAAAATTTTTTGCTATGCAAAGTAAATGTTTGTGGAAAAATGTAAAAATAAATAAATGAAAGAAAAAAAGAAAAAATCCTTATTTAGATAGGACAGCTTCTATAAAGGCATGTTTAATTACTAATAATCAGAAGACAGGTACCACAGTCTAGTGGCTACGTGAACTGGATTCCTCGTGACCAATGGCAGTTTGAATCCTATCGTGACACTTTTTAGTCAAACCTGAGCACATGTGGTTAGGATGCCCCATATCCTGGCCGGATAAAGAAATAGAGAAGGAACTGAGAGACATGACTACACCTCATTGGGATGCTTTCTCCTCCCACTCCCTTCTCTCTATTTGTCAAACCCATGCACTATTTGGCAATTAAATTTTTTTCCTAATGAAACTAGGACAGAAAAATATATCAACCTTTTTTCAAAATAAAAGACAGTAAATAAGAGGCCAGCAGGTGGCATGGTGGTTAAGGTGCTGGACTCCCACATGTCTTAATGTGGCTCAAAGTCTCTGGCTCAAAGTCTCAGACCTGGCTGTCTGCTTTCTCATATTCTCTCTTCCTCTCTCTCTCATGAGCGCACATGCCCTATAGGAAATTAAAAAATAATAATAAATAATAATAAAAAGACAGAGCACAGTATTTAAAATCCTGATGTTCTATGATGTTCCTACAAGAACATGAACATACAGTAACCTAATGACAGCCTAGTGGAAAAAGATTTTTTTTTTGCCTTAGGGCATTTGCATTGCCAGAGAAAGAGAAGGAAAGTGAGAAATCACTCTTCAGTGAAGATGGCCACACAGCAATCCCCTCTCCTTCATTCCTTTCTCAAGATTATTTATGAGCATGCAGACAAGACATGTGGCCCAGTGTGACTTTAAAGCCACTGGATCCAGAACTCAAACTGCCATGTGGGATCCAGTGCCTTTGCCACCATGCCACCTGCTGGCCTAGCTTTAAAAGAAACAAAATTTAAGTAAGCATTAAGTATCCATTTACAGGATCCAAAAAAAATTTCTTTATTATAGCCACGCTGCAATCCCCTTTCCTCCAGTCTCCTCTCAGGATTTTGGATACACATGCACATGTACCCGGTGTGAGTTTTAAGTCGCAGGGTGTGGGGCCTGAACCACCACACTGACCACATGGGAGTCCAGCAGTGTAACCATTACGCAATCTGCTGGTCCCAAATTTTTAACATTTTTAAGAGAGAGTAGTTGGATCCCACATGGCAACCATCCTTTCATTCCTCAGCCAGGTCAACCCATAATTGGCCCAGGCATGAGTTCCCAAGAGCTAATGGCTAGTGGGCTGGAGGAAAGAGACCACAGCATGACCAGACCCAGCAAAGGGTGCTCATTATACACACACTCTTGCTCTCTCCAGTCCCAGACCTGGGGTGGCTTCCTTTCTCAGTTTCCCTCTCTCTGACGACTATAGCAAATCAAAAAGTAATAGTAATAAGTAAAATAAGTCATTCTTAAAAAAAGAGTAAATTTAGTTTCATAGACTAAAGTTCTGAAAAGTTTTCTATTAGGCTAATTTACTAATTATAATTTGAGCTATATAGCTGAAATAGAAAACCAACCCACCGGAAAAACTACTCCAGCGTAAAGCCCTAAGACATTTTTTAACACACATCCAAAAGCTTTTCTGCTATTTGGGACACATCACACTGACCTGAGATACTGACACTAAAATATTTGCCTACTTATTTTACAGTGCTGACATATTACATCAGATACATATTCAATAGAAAAGTTTTCAAAGAAACAGATTTACTATGTAAACAACTATTTCCAGAAACTTAATGGAATGAACTATTTTAAAGTTCAGATGGTTATCTGATTCCAAATCTAACTTGAAATAAAATCCTAGAGCTCAGACCACCTGCCCAGAAATCCTACTCCGGCATCAGAGTGTAATAGTTCAAAGGGAATTCATTTAGCTACATGCTTTGCAATGTTGTGTGCCAAGTAAATTCCAAGAAGGCCACTGTTACAAGACCTTTTAACCATTTCCAAGTAGTACTATGGCTCCACCACAGGATTTCAGTGTCCAGTATGGTAAATTGTTACTGATACCTAAGGATGATACACTTCTGGAATGTGGAATTTTCTGTTGCCATTTTTACTAATTTTAGTTAAAGATACTCTTGGACATGTGCATGTTGCACCCTGGCTTGATTTTCAAGCTGTCAGGCCTGGGACTTGAACCCCATAGCTGGACATTTGGGATTCTGCCCCCTAACCTCCACATCACCAGGTGGCCGTAGACCAGGTATCTTTCTGAACTCACAATTTCTCTGATTTTCAAACAGTAATGTAGTACATATAGTTTATTTATGTGTATACACACACATAAATAAATGTGTTAAGTAACACTCTCTAGAAGAGTAAGTCAGGACCCTGCAATTACAATATTTCCAACAATGTAGGTATATAAACAGTAATTGGGATTAGTAAAAATAATATTAGCCTCAATCACCACAGATTAAGGTCAACTTTTCTTCCTAAATTGGTTAGATCACATAGAGAAAGTTAGTTTTAAGACTTTAGACCTTTTGGGTCCAGCAGGTGGAGTAGTGGTTAAGGCATTGGACTCCCATGCGGTCAACTGTGATTAAAATCCTGGACCCAGCGACTTGAAACTCAGGTGGGTGTGTGTGTGAACATGCCCAAAATATACAGAGGAGAAAGCAATTCTTTCCGTTTCCAGTCAATAGAAAAACATCTAAATTTCACACTGAAAACAAATTTTCAATAGCAAGAAATCTAAATACTGTTAAGATTTTTAAATGAACTATAAAAATCTAGTACCTCAGATTCAAAGAATAGATTACTATGGAATTAATATTTTGCAAAAAGCACAATGCTAAAGTCAAATCCAGAAACAGAAAATCAGAAACAAGCTATCATTGAGGGCCAGGAGGTCGTATAGAAGTTAAGGCACTGGATTCTACACGGCTTACTCCATGGTTCAAATCCCAGATCCAGTGGCTTGAAAAGTATACCAAGAACGTGTGTGTGTCCAAAATCCTGAGAGGAAAATGGAAGAAAACGGGCTGTGGTGTGGCCACTACCACCCCAGGGGTGAGTTCTCACTTTCCCTCCCTCTCTGGCAAATGGATGTACCCTTTGTCAAAACCTAAAAACTATCCTTGAAAATCTATTTGGAAGGTGGCATTGTGATATACATATATCATCTTTCAGCAAGTCTTCTAAAGACAAATTATTTTATATAAAGTCAGTGAAAAAGAATATAAACTCCAGAAAGTCATTTAGTCAGGCAAGATGTCCCTAACTAGAAAAACAAGAACTAAGATTCATCTTTCATATCCCTTGCTTTGGAGTATAACTTCACTGAACAGAATGAAAGCAGAATTTTTTGCTCTACTTAAAAAATTCTTGATTTTTCTGGGCTGGCAGGTGGCGTGGTGGTTAAAAGCACTAAACACCCACATTGCGGACCATGGTTCCAATTCTAACCTGGTGGCCTGCATTCATACTTTCCCTCCCTCTTCCTTACTCCCTCCCCCGCTCTCTCTGGTCAAATAAAAATAAGTTAAATAAAGTGATTTTTTTTAAAAAAAAAAAAGTTCTTAAATTATTTTGATCAAGCCTGAATACTTGAGTTCAGTAAGTAAAATAATAATGATTAACTACATCTTAAATCTAAACTCTTTCCAATTTATATTAAACACAGTAATAGTTGTGATATATTCAAGGCAAAGTAAAAGCTAAGTGATCCAGTCATGTAAACAAAGAAATCAGTCAAATCTGTAAACTGCAATCATTAAATCCATTTTAAAACTTTAAAAAGGGCTTCAAGGGTCACTGCACTGAAAGAAGTAAATACCATTTCACATTTTGAAAAATACTAAACAACACAGCATTCTCTTTCACTTCAACTTTACAAGACCCCAACAGATGTGGAAATACTTACATGGACAAGTCAGGAGATGGAACCCCCCTATCATCAGCTAGGTTCCCAAGGTGGCTCAGCGTTGAAGTCGAACTGCTCTCTATACAGCACTTCTCCTAGGCCCTCTGGGTAGTTGTATACTTGGTCAGAAAGTTCGCCCTAAATAAAAGTAGGAGATAGTCCTACGTCAAAAATATGACAAGCTGTGCTTCAGGTAGTTAAAATCTCTTAAAGATAAACTGTAAAACAAATTTTGGTTTCATTAAAATCACATTACCCAAAATAATGCAGTTAGGGGGCCAGGATCTGGACCCTTGTCAGCTATGTGGGATCCAATATCTTTTAAGATTTATTTATTGGGTCTGGCAATTGGAGTGGTAATTAAGGATGCTGAACTCCCACATGGCCGACCAAGTCCCGGACCCGGTAATTTGCTTTCTCAATTTCCCTCTCTCTTACCCTGTCCCTCTCTAGTCAAATTTAAATAAAAACGTTATATAAAATAATTCTTATAAGATTTTAAAACTTTATTAGTTTATTATTATTCTTCAATAATAAAAAGACAGAAAGAGGGAGAGTGCAAAAGCAAGCCATCAGGTCCGGGACTTGAACCGTGGTTAGACATGTGGGAGTCCAGCACCTTAACCGCCATGCCACCTACTGGCCCCCAAAATCCAGTATCTTCTACAGACTGCTAATCACAGCAAGCAGGGTCAGCTCAGTGGTTATTGTTTTATAATAATATAACCTGGGGCCAGCAAGTGGCATGGTGCTTAAGGCACTGGACTCCCACAGAGCCTAATGAAGTTCCAGTGCCAGAACCTGGTGGCTTGCTTTCTCACTTTTTCTCTAGTGAGTGCATGTGCCCTATAGCAAATTTTAAAGTAATAAAAAAAATTAAATAAATGAAATTTTAAAAAAAGAAAAAAGAAAAAAATATAGCCTGATAGTATTTGCTAGAAAAGGGGCATTGAGAAGAAAATCAGAACTAGAAATGATAAGATCAAGAATCTGGGCAGGAAGGGAACCAGCGGTTAGCATAATGGCTGGACTCCCACGTAGTCGACCGTGGTTCGCGTCCGGCACCCGGCACGCGTGCATGCAAGCCCAAGATCCCGAGAGAAGAAGGGATTGCGGCGTGACCATCCCCCCTAGGGGCTGATTTCTCGCTTTCTGTCTCTATGTCTCTCTCTATCTGGCGAGCGCACGCGCCCTATAGTGAAAACCTCTCCCCCCCCCAAAAAAAAATCTAGGTAGGGGCCAGCAGGTGGCATGGTGGTTCAGGGCACCGGACTCCCACATTCCCATGTGGCCAATTGCAGTTCAGGTCCAGACCTGGCGGCTTGCTTTCTCACATTCCCTCCCTCCCTCCCTCCCTCCCTCCCTTTATTTTTCCCTCAGTACCTCTCTGGTCAAATTAAAAACAAAGTTAAATAAAATAATTCTTTAATTAAAAGAAAAAAGTCTCAGGGAATTTCAGAAGCATACTAACACCCTCAACCAGGATCAAGGCACCCCTGAGAGAGAATGTTCATTTGATCTGGTAGAAGAAACTGATTTACACTCAACACTTACATGGATGATAAGTAAAGAATCCATACCAACAAGTAACAATGATTATGACTTTATAACAGATTTTAAATAATAATGTACTACTCTATAGCGAACACTGATACTTCAATTCCCACACTGATATAATTTTAAAAATATAAAACCAAATCGGGAACCAGCAGTTAGCGTAATGGCTATGTCGTTGGACTCCCACGTAGTCGACCGCGGTTCGTGTCCCGGACCCGGTGGCTTAAAACTCACGCCGGGCGCGTGTGCATGCGTGCCCAAGATCCCGAGAGGAGAATGGAGGAGAAGGGATTGCGGCATGACCATCCCCCCTGGGGGGTGATTTCTCGCTTTCTGTCTCTATGTCTCTCTCTGTCTGTCTGGCGAGCGCACGTGCCCTACAGTGAAAATCTCTCAAAAAAAAAAAATTATATAAAACCAAATCATACTCAGGATAGTTCATGCTTAACTAGCCTAAGTAATGGGATAATTACCTTAGGCAAAAAGACATTACTCACCTTTTCCCCAACTGTATATTTATAGCCATTCTGATCCTTAATGCAACCCAAGAGTAATGATGTAAAATGTTAAGGACATTAAATTTCAGACATTAATGCTCTTCAGGGTTGGCTTAGTGGTTAAAGGAGCCAGATCTCACATGACTGATTATGGTTCAAATCCTGGCCCCAGTCGCTTGAAAAACATGCCAGGTAATATGTTTTCATGGCCCAGATCCCAACAGAATGGAGAAATGAATGGAAAAAGGATGGATAATGAATTGTAGCGTGAGCATACCCCACTGGAAGGGTCTGTCTACTTCTGTCTCTCTCTGGTGAGCATATGCATCCTGACAATTAATGAAAGCCCAAGGATTTGAGCAGCATATTTCAACAGAAATAATAAAAGAGGGGACCAACAGATGGCGTAATGGCTACGTCACTGGACTCCCATGTAGTTGACTGCAGTCCCAGACACAGTGGCTTAAACTCATGCTGGGAGCGTGTGCGTGAGTGCCCAAATCCTGCAAGAAGAATGGAAGAGAAAGGATTGTGGCATGGCCATCCCCATCCCCCGCCCCTTGTGGGGGTTGATTTCTGTCTCTCTGAATCTCTATTTCTGGTGAGCTCATGTGCCCTATAGCAAAAACCTCCCCCCCCCCAAAAAAAAAAAAAAAAGGTGTGTCTAGGGACCAGCAGATAGCATAACAGTTACACCATTTGAGTCCCAGACCCAGCAACTTAAAACTTACACTGGGCGTATGTCCATGTGTGCCCCAAATCCTGAGAGCATGGATAAGCCATTGAGGCATGGCCATTCCCCTCCCCCTTGTAGGGGTGATTTCTCACTTTCTGTCTCTTAAGCAAGTATACACAACCTATAGCAAAAATCTCCCCAAAAAATTATGAGCAGATGGCATAGCAGTTACGTCGCTGGACTCCCACATATCCAAAGCTGTTCAAGCCCCAGACCTGGTGACTTGAAAAATCACACCAGGTGCATGTGCGTGCATGCCCAAGAACCTGAGAGGAGAACGGGGAAGGGATTATAGTGTGGCCATGGGAGACAGTGGGAGAGATGATTTCTCACTTTTCCTCTCTCTAGTGAGCACACATGCCCTCAGGCTAAAACCTTTTTAAAAGAGAAAACAGAATGGTATGTCTAAATTAGTTGGAATAGCCCCAGCACTGCAATCAAGTTCCTTAATAATCACTTGAAGATATGTCTCGAGAAGTCAACATACTAAAAACAAGGGGTCTCTACAATCTTCACAGCTTGGAAAACATGCCAGGTACATGTGTATGTGTACCCAAAATCTCAACGGGAAAGACAAATGGAAGAGACAGAATTGTGGACTGACATGTCCCTTCAGGGAGTGTTTTCTCCCACTTGTTTCTCTCTGGTAAATGTACATCCTCTCTGGCAATTAAAAAAAGTTTGTGGAAATATTATGAAGAATCTATATATGGTTTTCAATTTTTTTTACACCAAAATAAAGTCGTACTAATTTGTTATAATAGGCATGAAAACATCTATATAGTCTGAGGCACTAAAAACAATTTAAGACATCAGTCTGAAAAGTCTATCAAAACAACAAACTGAAGCAAGAACATCAAATTTATGGTGAAGTTTGGATGGAAGAATGGTGACATTAATGATTTTTTCCCCCAAAGTTTATGGAGACAGTGCTCTCAAAGAAATCATCAATCTTCAAATAGATAACTAATTTTAAAAAGGGACTAGACAACGTTGAAGATGCCACCCTCAGTAGCAGTACCATCCACATTCATTTGCAAGGACTTATAGTTAACAGGAGAAACAACAGCTAACACTACAGATATCTCAAGTGGTTCAGCTACACAATTCTGATGAAGTTGGGCAAATTTTCTGCTTGATGGGTGCCAAAATGGTCGTGCACGGATCAGCTGCAGGCAAGAGCAGAACTTTCACTGTAGATTACTTTTAATTGCCAGAGGGTGTGTTCTTTGACCAAAGAGTGAAACCAACACCCATTGGAGTGTGGTCATACTGCAACACTTTCTCCTTCATTTCTCCATTCATGCCCAACCATGTTTCTCAAGCTATCAGGGCCAGGCCTAGGGCTCAAACCATGGTTGGCCCCATAGGGATGTCTCCTAATGAACAGAACCCTAATGCACAGCACTCAACTACTGCACAAAGGGGCTGGTCCTCAATGCAAATTTTAAACAAGTGTGATCAAAATCCTGAAGCATGTCTTGGAAGACTTAACAGGGGATGAAAAGATGCTCCTGAAGACAAAACACAATCAAACCAATAGCTACTAAGACATGGAATGGTTCCAGTCAAAGCAAAAGCAGACTGGTCAAGAGCAAATGTCATGGCAATGCTTTTTGGGGATACACAAGTCATTCTGCTTGTTGACTTTCTGGAGGACCAAAGAATGATATAACATTTGCTTAAAATGAGTGTTTTGAGAAAGCTGAAGCTTTATAAAAGAAAAACATGCAGGAAAGCTTCACCAGTCTTTCTCCATTGTGACAATGCTCCTACTTATTTCTTTACCAAATAAGAGCAGTTCTATGAGTTTCTATAGGCAATTACTAAAGTACTGATTTGGCTCCTTCTGACTTATTTCGTAACTTAAAAAATCTTGGGCTACTCCCAAAGTATAGTGGTTAAGTGTGCTGAATCTCAAATGGTTGACTGCAGCTCAAATCTCATGGGATAGCTTGATAAACACTGCATTCCCAAAATCCTGACAGGATGGAGAAATGGAGAAGGGAATGCGGTATAACCATGCCCATTGGGACTTGCTTTCTACCCACCTCTGGCAAATTTTAAAAAACTGTAACATCACTTTAGGGCTGTTTCCGGGCACAGCAGCAAGGTGCTGTTCAAAAGAAAAACAGATCCCACATAGTGACTACAGTTCAAAACCAGGTCCTGGTCAGCCTGACTCACCCCAGGCACTCAAAATTGGATAGGCTAAAGGGAAAGCAGTATGACTAGACCCTGCGCAGAGTACTTTCTCTCCCCCTCTTTCTCACATGAACATGCACTGTGGCCTATTATGAAATAAAGAAATACTTGTTCTTCAGATAATAATGTAAAGATTGTATCAA